TGGGTTCAAAATGAGTCTGGCCTAGATGTGCCTCCATGGTATGCAGATTGTTTGACTGAGCCAAAGGCAACTCCAATACTTGCGTTTGACCCATCTACAGGGCAGGGCAAACTTGTATTTCCTAAATGTCTGCTCTGACCATCCTGCAGTGACTCTCTAAAGCCCCCTAGGTGCAGTGCCTCATCTCTAGCTCAGGACCACTTGCGTACCTTCATCGCCCTTTCTAGCTCTGAAATTCTCTGCTCGTGGGACCTGACTCTCACGTATGCAGCGTTCACACGCACATGCTACATTTGGTTTTCTTCTTTTGCCAGTATTTCTCATGTCTATTTAATTATTACAAAAGCCAGAAGAACACTGAGGGTAGAGGAAAGTTTGTTCCTCCCCCAGTGTCCTTTTTCTCATGCCCTATTGTATCAGCAATCTTGTTGGCTCTACTTTCAAAATGTGTCCAGGGCCCCTGGACCTTTGTACTGACTGCTGCCTGGCTCCCGGGTTGTTCTGACTTGGATTTCTACATGACCTCTACCCTCACTCCTTTTAGTCCATAACTCTGTATGTTGTCCTCTCAAATCACAGTCCTGTCTCTGTTGTATCAATATTTGTCTGCATGGCACTAGTCTCCACTGAATATACTATTCTATCTGTCTGTCTGCCCCAATAGAATATAAGCACCATAGGGGAGTGACTTGTATTACTATATCTTGCTTGATACAGAGCCCGCACTCAGTATATCTTTTGTTGTACAAATATATGAACCGAAAGGATTACATAGGTAGGACCGATGTTAAGGATGCTAGCAGTCAGAAGGGGGCAGCAAAGAGGTACCCAATGTGGATGAATGGTTGGGACAGGGTTGGAAAGGGTGGGAGGGGAGGGTGAGCAAGTGCTGTGACCTGAACAAGTCCCTTAACATCTCAGAGTCTCAGTTTCTTCCTGTAAGAAAGGTTATTGGGAGAGATCACATGTGCTGGTCAGGGAAGTCTATGTAATTGGCAAATCATAAGCGTGATGTGCATATTAGGTGTGCACAGTATGAGTTGCCCAAATGTCCAGTTGGGGTACAGGGTAGTTATACAACTATGAGGCTGCCTGATGAGGGAATATTACAAAGCATTTCAAAGACAAGGGGAACTGCTTGTGTTTTAAGTTTGTGTGTATGTAAATTTTTAAAAAAGGTTTATTTATTTTTAGAGAGGGGAAGGGAAGAAGAAAGAGAGGGAGAAACATCAATGTGTGGTAGCCTCTTGTGCACCCCCTACTGGAAACCTGGCCTGCAACCCAGGCATGTGCCCTGACTGGAAATCAAACTGGCGACCCTCTGCTTCACAGGCTGGCACTCAATCCACTGAGCCACACCAGCCAGGGCTCTATGTTAATTTTATAGACAGAACAACGATGAGATGTAGAATTAATAAGCCCATGGAAAAATCTAGAAGAAATGTATCACCACAAAAATGAACAGCTATCTGGGCAGATTTCTGTATTTCAAAATTGTCACCACGGGCATGTATTTGTGATTCCCTTTAGCTTTTAATGACCTACTAGAATGTTCTGTGGTTATTTTTTTAAAATATATTTTACTAATTATGCCATTACAGTTGTTCTATTTTCCCCCTTCATTCCCCTCCATCCTGCACACCCCCTTCCCCACCATTCCCCCCCTTTAGTTTATGACCACGTGTCTCAGGTCCTTTAGATTCCATATTTCCCCTACTATTCTTATCCTCCCCCCTATCTGTTTTCTATCTAATGTCTATGCTACTTACTCTGTGTACCTTCTCCCCCCTTCTCCTTCTCCCACTTCCCTGTTGCTAATCCTCCATGTGATCTTCATTTCTGTGGTTCTGCTCTTGATCTAGCTGTCCTCAGTTTGCTTTTGTTTTAGATGTGGTTCTTAATAACTGTGAGTTTGCTGTCCTTTCACTGTTCATATTTTTTAACTCCTTTTTCTTAGGTAAGTCCCTTTAACATTTCATATAATAAGGGCTTGGTGATGATGAACTTCTTGAATTTGATCTTATCTGAGAAGCACTTTATCTGCCCTTCCATTCTAAATGAAAGTTTTCCTGGATAGAGCAATCTTGGTTGTAGGTCTTTGGATTTCATGACTTGGAATACCTCTTTCCAGCCCCTTCCTGCCCGTAGGGTCTCTTTTGAGAAATTTGCTGACAGTCTGATGGGAACTCCTTTGTAGGTGACTGTCCCCTTATCTCCTGCTGCTTCTAGGATTCTCTCCTTCATTTTAATCTTGGCTAATGTAATTATGATATGCCTTGGTGTATTTCTTCTTGGGCCTAACTTCTTTGGGACTCTCTGAGCTTCTTGGATTTCCTGGAAGTCTATTCCCTGTGCCAAATTGGGGAAATTCTCCTTTATTATTTGTTCACATAAGTTTTCCACTGGTGGCTGTTCCTTTCCCCCTTCTGGTACCCCTATAATTCGGATGTTGGAGCGTTTAAAGATGTCCTGGAGGTTCCTAAGTCTCTTCTCATTTTTCTGAATTCTTGTTTCTTCATATTTTTCTGTTTGGCCATTATTTTCTTCCTTCTGGTCCACTCCCTTGATTTGAGGGACATGCCATCCAGCCTGTAGTACTTTGTTATGGCAGCCAGTGGTTTTCAGGGCAGCCATAAAGTTATTTATGTAGCCACACTTCCACGTAGTTCTAAGGCATTTATATCGCCTCCAAAATGTATCCTTTTAAAAGATTAATTAGAAGTGGTGATTTTTCACTTAATAGTCCCCATAGTATTTCTGCACATTTGGAAAAGGAGGAATAAGAAAATAAAGACACTGAAACGTCCAGTCTCTGTCCTCCAATTGTCCCTTACAATAACCCCGACTTCTCTGCGGCCCCACACCCCACGTGCGGCACTCAGCAAGGTCAGTCACTCTCCTCCTTAAATCCCTTTCTTCACTTGGCCTTCAGAAACTGGAACTGGTTAAATTCACTTCTTCAAATTGCTGTTTTTAAAGAAATGAACTCCTCATCCAGGCACCCATGTGGATGAGTCTCAAAAGCTGAGCGAGAGAAGCCAGACACCGAAGGCCTCACCCTGCAGCGTTCCATCCTTGGACACGGAAGGTGCTAGAAACAGTGGAGGAAAGCAGACGAGAGGAGGGCCTAGAGGCCCCCTCTGAGCTTGAAGCCTGCTCTCCTATGGGGATCTGTGAAGCTTGAAATAAACCAGCTGAGTTCCCGGTGCTATAAATAGTGGCTCTGCCTGCCTCAGGGAAGCCAGGTGCACCTTTCTCAGGCCCCGGTCTGGCTCGCAGCCTGGCAACCTAGGGGCCACGGACCCTGCCATGGCCCACTCTCCCCGGGCCCAGCCCCCCTCCGGCGGAGGGTGCAGGCTCTGAGGGCTGAGTGGGATGGGGAGGCTGCCTGGGGAAGCGGTTGGTCCCAGTAATGGTATGTCCAATGCCAGGGGAGAGTTTTCCCTAAAATGGCTGATCTAGGAAACAGGCCTGGAGTGTAACGAAATCGCTAATACTGGTAAGACAAGAGCTGGCGTTTACTAGGAGTGAACTAGGCCCCAGGCATTGTTCTACTGTCACTCAGTATTAAATTCATTCACTCCTCAGATGGAACTGTGACGGGGGCAGAACTGTTTTCCCCTTTCACAGAGGAGAAGGTTGAGGTCCGGTAGGTGGCACGTGGCAGGGACAGGATGCACCCCCAGGTGTCTGACTCCAGGGCTGCTCTCAACCCAAGAACTCCGAGTCCCAAATCACGGGCCTGAATGCTGATCGAGTGCTAGCCTTCGGTGCTGGGGTCAGGCCCTGCCCCTGTAGGACCCAATCCACCAGAAAGGTGAGGGTGGCCTCCCTGGGGACTGCCAAGCTGGAGCACCAGGCACAGAATATATGGAATATTGAGGGTACGGGAGGCTGGCACCCTCCCATGCGTGGGAGCATCCGCGGCACAGGTTAAAGGGGGTCAGGGGCCCGAATGGGGCCTGGGGAGCAGGGTGCTGGGGAGGCGCCTGCAGACAGAAAAGAGAATAAGAACCTTTGGGGGAGGTGGGGGACTAGCAGGGGAAAGGCAGAGGGGACAAGGGACACACTAGGTGGGCGAGCTAGAAGTGCAGCGCCACACAGCCGGGGTGACTGTGAGAAACGCTGGAAGGACAGACACAGAGGCAGGGCCTGGGCTGGAGGGGGCCCTAAAGTCTCGGGAAGTGCTGAAGAATAGGGGCTTCCACTGGACCACTCCGCCTCAGGGCTTCTGGCTCAAAGCCCTGAAAGCTGGTCTCTGCCAAGAGCAACCAGGACCCTCTGGCAGGGCTCCTGGGAGTGTTCAGGCTGCACCACCCGATTTTGAAGGGGTGGAGCAGAAAAAGCAAGGGCTTCGGAACCAGAGGCCTGGCCTGGAACTCCACCTCACTCACTTCCCTGGGAAAGTGGCTTATGCTCAACGAGCCTCAGAGTTTCTCATTTGCAAACCAGTGGTAACTGTGCCTTATGCCCACTGGGAAAAGTAAACAGAGCACCAGCACAAGGCCCCTGGCCAGCAGCATGAACAACTCACATTTATTGAGCACTTCCTGTGTGCAGCTGGGTGTGTCCTCAGCTGCTCTATCCCTACGAGCCACCAGGTGGTTCCAGGATTATGTTGCTACAATGACAACAGTGCCTACCTCGTAAGGTTGATGCCAGGATAAATATGTTGGCACTGTGAAGGGTGCTGCACACAGAAGGCACTCAACAAGCATTAGCTGCACCAGTGGGCTCGGCCCCTGTCAGAGACACACAGGCTGGGCAGCCACACTGGGCCTGAGTCTCCTGTCAACCAGCAGACACGGCGGGCTGGGTCTGGCGGGCCCCGGGGTGGGGTCAACCGCACACCGTCCACCGTCAGGGTGCTGAACAAATCCAGGTAAAATTGAGGCCGCCCCTCAAAACACTGCCGATCCAGGGCATCCCCTAACACAGAGTCACCCTGACATTGCTCTGGGGACACCAGCCCCTGCCCCTCCGAGCCCTGGGGTACTCACGGCAGAACCTGAGGAAGTCTGACTGCAGCTCCTTCCGCGCATTCAGGAACAGTCTGCCCTTCTCGGTGCCCACCACGAAGGCGCTCTCGTCATGCACCGCGACACAGGCCACTTCTGCGTTCAGCTTGGAGAGCGCTGAGCACTACAGAAGCAGCAGGGGACGTGAACTGGGGGCAGGTCCACCACCCCAGCATGGCTCCATGCCACAGGGATGTGAGTCCCTGCCAGTGGCTGCAGGGAGGGGTCGCTCTTTCAACACTGTCATCTTAGACTCTACAGTGTGGGGGGGTGGTCCATAAGTGATCCCCCCTCCCCCAGAGCTGGGCCAAGGTCAAGGGGAGAAGATGTTTATGGAGGCTGGAGGAGGACAAAGACACAAGGCCTCTGCCCCGTTCTCTTCCCAGGACCTCCTTGCTCTGGGGTGGGTTTCCTACATTAGGCCTGGACCCAGCCCCAGGGACAATGCTGTCCTGGACTCTTTGAGTCCTGGGTGAGGAGAAGGTGGGTTAGAACCCAGGAAAACAAAGGCTCAGACACATCCAGGCTTCGATCCCAGCTCAGCCACTTCAGGAAAGACTGGAGCAGCTGGGCAGGCACCTCACTGGTCCCGTTTCCAAATCTGTACAATGGAGACAAGCAGCCTGGCTCAAAGGGTTTTAATGGGTTTGACTACGGCAATTCAAGGGGGCCTGGCTGGCAGAAAAGAATTGAGAACTGGGGCATCCCATGCAGGTATCCAGGCAGAGAGGTGTATTTGCACCCCTGGAGTTGAGGTTGGCAGGCCCACTGCACAGGAAGCCCTAACATAGGGGCCCTCAGCCAAGACCACCACCACCTCAGGCCTCTGACCAACCTCACCTGCCTATAAAACGAGCGGCATGCAGTTGGTGCCCAATAAATGGTTTTTATAATATGGGTTAGGTAATGCTTTGCTGACAGTCAGGAAGCCTGGCTTCTAATCAGAAGATCTGCAGCGATCTAGACATGCCCTCTCTGGGCCACAGTCACGCCTTCTGTGCCGGCTCCAACACCCTGTGCCAGCTCCAACCCCCTTTGCCAGCTCCAACCCCGAGTAGATCTGGAGAGGAAGCTGGGACACTGCACGGCCCCCAGACCTGTCCCTCGGACCCCCCTATTGAAGGGGCTTTCATTTCCTGTTCTCTAAGATTAAAACAAAAATCTACCGCTCCCTTCCCCCACTGCAACATGGCAGAACATTAACAAATGAGACACATAGATTTGTTCCCAACAAAGGAGTGGCCGTTGGAGCTGGAGGAGGGCCTTGTTGTGGGGTCACTTCCTAACTGAAGGAGCTGAGGCCCTGGCTGGGCATCGACTCACCTGAGGCACCCAGAATGGGGGCCCTGAGGAAATGCCGGGGGGCGGGTCTGAGACCAGAGGTGGGGTTAGGGGGCGAGGATGAACAGACAGCACTTGGGCCTCACAGCCCTGCAGACTCCCTGAGGACCCGGGCCCTGAGGCCTGGAGGATGCTCCAGTTCGGTCACTTCCAAGCAAGTGCCACGTCACCCATGAAGGTCCCTCGGGAAACCCATTAGGGGCCCAGAGCTGGGATAGCCTGTCTTACTCAGGTCACCAGGCTGGCTACAGGGTCATGGGCTCCTCCAAGCTGCAAGGAGCCTTTGGAAACCCCTCCAGACCAGTGCTTTCCAAAAGAGCTTTCTGGCGAGATGGAAAAGTTCTATTTCTGCACTGTCCAATACTGTGACCACTAGCACTTGAAATGAGGCTAGTGCAACCAAGCAACTGAGTAATTTGCTGTATTTAATTTTCGCTAGTTACAATTTAAATGTCAACTGCCACTGCAGCTGGACTTCCACCACCACCAAGCTGGCACTCTGCAGGGCACGGGGCTGGGTTCCCGCCCAGGGGGGTGGCGCACCCAGCTGCCTTCCCAGGAGTGCCCGCCGCCTCTGGCCCAAACACCACCTGAGCTGCCCTCCAACCGCCTACAGCAGGAACAGTCTGGAAGGAGGTCCTCTGTCCCAGGGGAACTGAAGACTTTGCACCCAAGTCCACTTTAGAAACTGGACACACTGTGTGACTTTGGGCAAGGTACTTCCCACTCTGAATGTCAACTTCACCATCCTAAAATGCAGATTTTCAGTGGCACACCTGCCTACCCTCCATCACAGAACTTTCCCCCAGGGAAACGACATTATTATTTCCTCACTGGGGGTGAACTGCTACAAGCTTAGGTGTGTAGGCCACGGTGCCCGAGGAGTGCTGTGTGGAGCCCATTTTCCCTCCCCCAGGCCCAGGACACAGTCGCAGCTCTGGCTGAACAGTGGGATTTACAGCTTTCTAACCTACCACCGCCCACACCTGTCCTCTAGGTGTTTCGGGGGAGACCTGTGACTGTGGCCACAATGGGCCTTGAAAGACAGGAGGTCATGAAATGAGGACAAGGGGATGAGGGCCGGAGCCAGGGCTTCCCGCCCCCCACACTGGTTGATGTCTGGTGATAAAGCTGGGTGTCCCTCTCCTCTGGGGAGGGCAGGGGCACTCACCATGGAATCTAAGGCAGACACTAGGCTGGTGATGATCTCGTCTTCGCGGGCGAAGGCAGAGTTCCAGCGGTCAGGCCCGCAGCCATTGGCGGGGACGTCGCAGCGCTTCCCCAGTAAGGCCATGGTCACCTGCAGAGAAAGAGGGGGAGCAGACAGAGGTGGGCATGCGCCACAGGGCATGGCCCACGTGCTGGGTGCCCACCCCACCCCACCTGGCCTGGCCCCGGACCCCAGAGCTGCCTCTACTTCCCAGGTGGGGCCAATCAAGGCCTGGCCTTCTCTTCTCCTGAGGTCTCGTGGGCAGGATGGAGCTAGAGCCTCGGCAGGCCTGCACACACAGCGGCTCACACGTGGCCTTTACGGTGTGGGCTCAGATGGCAGGATGCCTGGGGGTGTGCCTCACAGTATGTCCCCCACGTCTGCAGCCCCAGAGCTGAGCCCAGGACCGAGACCAGTCTGTTAGAAACCCCACCCATCACCTCTCTCCACGCATGCCACCCTAGCCACAGCTCTTTCTTGCTCACACACTCTCTGTGGCTCCCTACTGCCCCCATTAGTTCTTCACTCAGCTCGGTACTCAAGATTCCCAATCTAGACCCCCATGCTCCCGGTGTTCTAAGTGTCATTAGTCCCCAAACATACCAACATTCTTGTGGCTCCCCAGCTGTCAAGGGCTCCATTCTCCCTGCCCAGAACGCCTTTGCCAGCCCCTGCGTCACCCACTGACTGCCCACTCTGCTTTTCACTGCTGCCTCCATCAGGAAGGGACCCCCCACCTCCTGCCCGGCTGGGTCAGGTGCCCTTGCTGCCTCCCACATGTCCTGGAGCTCCCCGCTCACAGCTCTGCATCAAGCCCCATGCTCCCCTGGCAAGGCCACTACCCTGAGGCCTCTGGGCCACAGTCTACCCCCGGCTGTCGGAATTCAGTCTCAGAGGTGCAGAGGTTGCTTGTCCCAGTCCAGGATTCCTTCCACACAGGACTTGTCCCCTCATCACAAGGCCCTTGGAGAACAGAGCTGCATCCTCCCCCTCACTGGGGCCCCTCGGGCCAGGGCCCCCGCTCAGGAATCCCCCAGGCAGGAAGCGGGCCTGCTGCTGCTGTCCCCCAGCTTCGGGCACCCACCAGTTAGAAAGGTCGGCCTCCCCTTACAACCCAGCGGCTGGGTTGCCCCACCCTGGTGAACACCTAAGGCTCCACCCCTCATACATTACAGGCATGAACAAAGCAAACATTATGGCTCAAGAACAGCTTGAAGCCCCAGAGCCAATACTTCTAAGCAACCAAGAGATAGCCAACCTATCAGATGCACAGTTCAAAACACTGGTGATCAGGATGCTCACAGAACTGGTTGATTTTAGTCATAAATTAGAGGAACAAATGAATGCTAAACTAACTGAAATTAAGGGAAATGCACAGGAAACCAATAGTGATGGAAAGGAAACTGGGACTCAAATCAAGAGAGTGAACCAGAAGGAAGAAAAAAAATGACCAAACAGAAATATGAAGAAACAAGAATTCAAAAAATGAGGAGAGGCTTAGGAACCTCCAGGACATCTTTAAACGCTCCGACATCAGAATTATAGGGGTACCAGAAGGGGAAGAGGAACAGCCACGAATGGAAAACTTATTTGAACAAATAATAAAGGAGAACTTCCCCAATCTGGCAAAGAAAATAGACTTCCAGGAAATCCAGGAAGCTCAGAGAGTCCCAAAGAAGTTGGACCCAAGGACGAACACACCAAGGCACATCATAATTATATTAGCCAAGATTAAAATGAAGGAGAGAATCCTAGAAGCAGCAAGAGCTAAGGGGACAGTCACCTACAAAGGAGTTCCCATCAGACTGTCAGCGGATTTCTCAAAAGAGACCTTACAGGCAAGAAGGGGCTGGAAAGAAGTATTGCAAGTCATGAAATCCAAAGACCTACAACCAAGATGGCCCTATCCAGCAAAGCTTTCATTTAGAATGGAAGGGTAGATAAAGTGCTTCTCAGATAAGGTCAACGTCAAGGATTTCATCATCACCAAGTCCTTATTATATAAAATGTTCAAGGGACTTACCTAAGAAAAAGAAGATAAAAAATATGAACAGTGAAAGGACAGCAAACTCACAGTTATTAACAACCACATCTAAAACAAAAGCAAACTAAGCAGAAAGCTAGATCAGGAGCAGAACCATAAAAATGGAGATCACATGGAGGGTTAGCAACAGGGGAGTGGGAGGAGGAAGAGGGGGGAGAAGGTACAGAGAATAAGTAGCATAGACAGTAGGTAGAAAATAGAGACGGGGAGGGCAAGAATAGTATGGGAAATATAGAATCTAAAGAACTCGTGACACATGGACATAAACCAAAGGGGGGGAATGGTGGGGGAGGGAGTGTGCAGGGTGGAGGGTATTGAATGAGGAGAAATTAAACAACTCTAATTGTATAATCAATAAAATATATTAAAGGAAATAAAAAAGGTTGGCTTCCCTCAGTTCCTGTTCCACCCTGCCCCACCCTTGCTGGACTTCAGGAACCAGGTCCGGGGAGACCACCCCAGGCCTCCCCCAAAACAGTACACTTGCTCCCTCACCTTAGGCCTCCTCCTTCGAGGCAGCTGCCCCCTCGCCAGTCCAAGCAAAGGAGAGGGCAGAGGGTGGTCAGTTTCCCTCTCTGGGTTCAGCCCCATCTAGTGCCCTGTGCACAGGTCTCAGGCACCAGTTCAGGAGACTGAGCGGCGACCAGGGTCAGAGGAAGCCTGCAAATCCAGCCTCTTTACTTCAGTCAGTCGGGGGGTGGGGGTCTGCATACATGACCAGGAATGTGGTGGTTAGGGGACAGCACTGGGCAGGTGACAGCTGGGCCTGGCACCTGAAAAGATGCCAAGCCCAGGGCGTCTTCTGTCACTGCAGCTGCCCCTGACCTTAAGCTCTGGGAAGGCAGGGGTCAGTCTGTTGGTCACTACGGCACCCCAGGGCCCTGTTCAGCGCCCAACATACAGGATGGATCAAGGCACCGTGGTCCAAATCAAGAGCCAGGGTCTTTAAGTGGGTCATGAAAGCAGTGACCCAGAAGAGCAAAGGTCCAAGCACATCACAAACAACAAGGCGAGAGGCGTCCCATGTCAGTCACGGACACACTCAAAGGGACTGGCGGTGCATTGCAGTGTGGCTCTGGCCTCATCCTGGCCCCAGCCTGCCCTTGGGTTGTGGGTAAGTACTGGTTTCAGCAACAGGCCAGTCAGCAGCTGGCCAAAATGTGGACTGGGCTCACTTCTAAATGTTTATCAAATGTATTTCTTCCCTGAGGCTGCAATATTATGAAAGTTCAAAACCCACAGTATTAAGGATGCTGAGGGCACGACAGTAAGACGTGCTAACAGGACAAGAGGCAGCCAGGCGCCACAGCAGGGGCCTTCTGTGGCACGACCAGATGCGAGGTCTGCCTGTCTGTATGCTTGAGGCTCATTCCCTCCTCTCAGCTACCCCTGCTCCAGTCCCTTGAACCATTCCCAGAAAGGTTCCAGTCTCTTGAACCATTCCCAGAAAGGCCTCTGGCTGCCAGCCTCCCAGGTGCAAGAGTCCAAATCAAATCAAGGTGAAGCGAGAGGCACCAGACAGCATTCCAGGCCTGGCCTGCAGACTGTCCCTGCAGCTGCGAACTCCTAATCCATTTAGGAAGGACTCAGGGAGTCAGAAAGGGAGGGGTGATGGAGGAAGTGCAGGGAGGCTGGGCTGTGGGCCATCCCCTGACTCCTGGTCTTGCCATCTGGGCTCTCAGGGCCCTCTGTCCTGCGCCAGAACCCAAGGAGGCCCAGCCCTGGGCAGGCGCATGTGTTCGGGGATGAAGGAGGGAGCTCCTCCTGCAAACTCCAGCCTCTGAGACAGGAGTCGGGTCCCTGTGGCTGGGGCTGCGGTGACTGGGGAGGAGGGCAACAGAGGGAAACTGGGAGCCATGAGCCATGATCCCTGCACACAGGAGACCCAGACTCAGGTCCAATGGCACCACATTGGATCAACCACTTAAATGGGCTAGTTCCAAACTGAAAATGAGGGAGGGAAAAAATATCACCCAATAAAACCAAAAGACCCTAAGGAACGGAGAACACAAAGTACAACATGCTGCTCACCAGGAGGCAAGTGCCCAAGCATAAACAAGAAAGTCCCTGGAGAAGGGGACAGTGAGAACTAAGGCCAAAGCCTCAGACATCACGCACCAGGAAACGGGGGACAGAGGACAAGGGGGCCAAGTGAGGAGCGGGGCTGGAGATGGCCAAGTACTGCTCTGTGGCACCTGGGAAAGAACATCAGACGTGAGGCCATGGGTGACAGGCAGCTGGCTCCTGCCCTAGGGCAAAGTGGCCGGGAAGCCCTCGGTGACAAGGGTCTTCCAGCCACCCCTGGGCTCCTGGGTGGGCAAGGCCTACAAGGGCCAAAAGGCAGGCAGGGAGACCGGGAGCACCCTCTCTGTCCTCAAATACCTCCAGAGGCCGCCGGGGCACCACACACCTGGTTTTCCTCCCACTTCCTGGGTTCCCCTCCTGGCATAACTGCCAAACACTACTGGGTCCTGGGCCCCCTCCCTTCCCTGCCCAACACCCTGCCTCACTGCTAGGCAACTGCTTGGCTTGAAAAATATCACCTACATGCTAGTGACTCTCAATTGCTCTCTCATTGCCTCTGCTGAGACGCCACCTCCCACCTGCCTCCTGCATTAAAGTGATCCCTCACCTATCGAGGGAGTTACGATCCAGAAACCCCCCCAACAGGTGAAAATCAGCGAAGTAGCGGTGTTATATTTATCATTTATATATATTTTAAGACTTTATATGCCCTTCCCACACTCCTATAAACCTTTCCCACTCTCTTATTAACCTTTCCTACACTGTTATAAACACTTCATATACTCTTAAATACTTTCTACACTCTTAAACCTATGTAATTTTAACATATAAAATTCTATATGGGTACTCACCAGTAAAGTATACTACAACTCGAAAGATGAAGATCATGAATTATGTAGCTGTGTAGTACTGATGGTGATGAGTGTGATGATGATGGGATGAATGTACTGCACAGCCAAGAAGAGCATTACAGCTCTTCTGAAGGCACCACTTCATTGGGCGCTTCATCAGGTGGTGCAGA